GAGTGGGAAAATATTAATAATAATACTTATTATTATTAATATTTAATTCGCAATGCCTACATCAGTATAACTTGCTCGGTGCTTCAATTATTTCAAAATCTATGTGTTCTAATCTTTTTTTGCTACAAACATAACACTTTCCTTTCTTACGAATTTGTAATACATCACCATATTTTTCAATTATCTTCTTTCTACGATATGCATACATATCAATTTCTCCTGTATTATATGGGTCATACAATTTGTTCATTGCTTGCATAAGTGGAATATATTTTTTTGTTTCTATTCTAAGTATTTCTCGTTGGTGTTCCCCCGCTTTTATGTTTAACTTGTCATATTCTGTTTTAAAATATTCTTCTGGTTCTTCTTGCTTTTCTCCACAAGCAGTCAAGAACTCATTAATAATTTCTTCTTGTTCAGCCTCTGTGAATATCTCAGTCATTTCCTCACTAATATATTAAGGTATTTTGTCTTTAAAAGGTTTTCGTAGAATACAGGCTATTTAATATTAAGTTGAAGTGTAGGATTTTACTAAAAGATAATTAGTAAAATACTACAAATTCTTCGCTTCCTCTCGCTTCATAATGTCTATTGTTCTCGTATCAACAATTTCAACAAACATTTTCCCGCCCCTTACATAAACTGTCGTGAAACAATTATTTTCAATATACGGCACACCAGTTAAGGCATCCATAACTTCATTTTTTACCAAGTTTAAGTCATCGTTAATTTTAATTATTTCTTGTTTGCTTTTATACCCAAAGGCTTCAGTCATTAATCTATATGTTCTTAAATTTTTAAATGCTTATTGTAAAATACACAATTTATATTATACGGAAATTTACACATACTCTCTCTTGACATCATCAAATTTAACACCATAATAATCTAAAGTTTGTTGTCTAGGTTCTTTTATTTCACAATTGTTTAATTTATTAATATATACATTTCGTTTATTTTTATACACATCGCTTCCTTTATCCATTGGTTTAGTATATTGTTTAGGTTTATTTGCTAATTCATCAAGTTTTTTATCAATCAGTTCTAACTTATCTAATATCTTTTGAAATCGTGTTGCTTTTGTTGTCTTATCCGCCTTATCATCATCTATATCGCTCATATAAAAGTTTTAGATTATTTTTTTCAAACTTTTAAAAACTTTGCGGTCTGAGTTCTGTTTATCTAAGCATCTCCTACATACGATATTGTATTCTTTGTGTTTCTGCAAACTTCTGAAATTTTCTATCTCTTTATATACCTTACATATCGGACAAACTTTTATTTCAAGACTGCTATAATTGTAATCATTATTATTAGAGAATGACACTATAATTTTATCAGTGTATATTGTCGCTTTATAATAAAATTATAAAGCCAATTCCTATAGGACTTAACAAACTAATTAAGCACCTGCTTATGAGTTGCTATTGAATGTTCAGACACTACTTCCCTTTCGTGAGCCCATCCAATGTGAAACGCTGGGGGTTTTCTTCTCCTTCGTCGCGAAGCTTCGCGAGGACTTCTCCGAAGCGTCCAGAAGCCAAAACTGGCATACTTGCCCTGTCATTATACATTATAAATAAAACTTTAATCCATCTTAACTTTATACCTACTTATATCTTCTACATCCTTTTTCAATAAATCAACATCAGTCTCCAATTTCTCTACTCTCTCTTCTAATTGTTCAGGTGTTATTCTACTTTCTTTACTACTCCATCCTGTATCGCATATTTCAACGCTTCCTTCCTGCAAATTAGTAACTGGTTTAAAAATATCGTCAGGACTGGTGTGTCTGCCACTACCACCAAATTTGATATTTCTTTTATCAACAACAGTATTCGCCGTTATTATGTTATTCTCTTTAACAGTTGTAGTCTCCTTATGATAAAATTGTCTGTTACAACGGCAGGGGATACAAGATATACCTTTAGCATTAATACGAAATCCTTTGTCGTTGCTTTCTTCTGAAACTTCGCACATTTTAAATCAGTAACGATATATTTTTTTCCATGTATTAGTAATAATGAATACTCCTATAGTTAAACCCATCAATGTTAAACAATATGATTTTGAACAATCTAAGTATGAGGTAGCACCTAAATTACCTTTTAGTCAAATTATAACAGGACCTTCGGGAAGTGGGAAAGGAATATAGATATTTGCAGAGATGTCTTTGAAAGAATATATATTTGGTCTCCTTCTATATCAGTTGATAGTAATTGGTTGCCAGTTAAAAAATATATTCAGGATCATTTGAAGGTTAATTTAGAAAAGGAAAAGTGCATGTTTGATGAATACATACCAGAAGA